AGGTCCAGCATAACAGTGGTCAGCAGGAGCAGCTTGGAGTCCAGTCTTCTTCAGCTGCTCCACTAAAGCTGCTAGGATGGTGTTTTTCTTCAAAATAGGCCTTGGTATGAATGTCTCCCTGCACTGAGGGCAGCTGTAGATTCCTTTGTGATCCTCTTGATCCCATTGATCTTTAATGCAGTTCATACAGTAGCTGTGTCCACATGGAGTCGCCACCGGATCCGTCAGTAGATCCAGACAGATTGAACAGGAGAAAGTTCCTTGGTCGAACTGATTCTGCTCCATTTCTGCTCTCAGTCACAGTGACTGTCTGAGTTTCACTTCCTCCAAATAAACTAGTTTAATTGAGTCCACGTCTCGTGTTTCAGTGCAGAGAGGTTGCAGCCAATCAGGTTTTACCCACAGCTTATCTTGGTTACACCCAGCTTCAAAGTTCAGATCATAAAAATCCGTAAACATGATTCTAATTCAATATTATCAGGGAACATGATTAAATATTACCATTTATAATAGCTTGTACACGTCTTATTTTATCTACTGCACACGATGGAACGACTCTCCGCATTCTTCTTCCCAACCTGCCATGCATCCACCATGTAAATTGACCATCTGCTCAATATTAAAATAACTTAACTAAGGAAATCAACACAAAATTCACTGCAGGTTAAATATTTTTTTAAATAGTCATTATGCTGCTTACATTTTCACATCATAACGTGATAAATACCAAATAACTGATCAATGTAATCTTTCAAAAAATAAACACCGAAAAAGTTAAAACTCAAACAATTTTGACACTTATTGTAGTAATAAATGTATTGGTGTTATCTCATTATGTAAACATGTGGAATCTTTGAATTTTGGTATTAAGCTCCATGTTAATGAATATATAGTTAAAAAATACATTAACACAGTAAATAAGGCAACAAGAATTCAAAGATTTAAAGGTCTTCTGTATAAGGTTATGATTTTTAAGTATTTACTATGGTATAAACCTTATTAGCGTAAAACAACTCCTTGAAATGTGAAAACCTTTGTGTCTCCAAAATGATGTCTTGTCTGCAGAGTCTCTCTTGTGGATCCATGACATGGTTTTTGTTTGCTGTTTTGTCTGTTTTGTGTGGAATCTGCCACTGACAGAGCTTCTTCCATCATAGCCTTCATGTAGCTGTAATCCTTCTGAAGCGGTACTGGTCTGGCTCGGGACTTCTGGTGGACTTTGCTCCATGAGAGTTTGAACATGGGTTCACCAGCACTCTCCCCTTCTTCGTATACCGCCTATTAAATAAACATTAATAGTTGCAATAACTGTTTCAGAACTGTTTCACATTTATATAGATGCATGATTTACACTCCACACAGGTGTAGTAACAATACACTAACCTGTTCTCTGTTTGCATTGTTATTGTGATCCAGTGCAGCAAGCATGGAAGCGTAACCAAAATGTGTTTTTTTGGCAGGTACGAAAGCTTCCACTAAAGCTATTGTGGCTTTAGTGTAATATTTTCTATTTTACCTCAAGTTTGGTGGTGTGGATGCACTTTGTAAGACGGTCCAGGTCTTTCAAAAGCTGCTTGTCTTTTATCATTTTTCCAACATGAGCATCAGATCCTGGCCTTAGCCACAGCTTAGTCCTCTGACTTGAGTCACTCAGAAGTTCATGAGCTCATGCATGATAGTGTTTGTTCCCTGGCCAGTCGTGTCGGTTGGTGACATGGTGAATCAGTGACACCCACTTCTCCTTCAGCGTTTCTGCATTTCCCCCACAGGTTTGTGTTCTCCACCAGAAATGATTTATAATGGACCGAATCCACTCTGCAAGGTCTTCACATGACTTCCACTTTGCTGCAGCAGCCAGTTTTTTGGACACCCCTCTTGCCACATGCCAGGATCAGATTCATGGCGTTTTTTGGGATTGTTGACCCTCATTTCTTTAATAATTTGCAGATGTCTGTCTGTGCAAACCGTAATGACCTTCACTCCATTTTGCTCTATGTTATTAAGAGCCTCCTTGAACCCTTTAGTCTCCATTGCATTAGAGCTTGAAGGTTGTGGTTTCCTGCTCCTTTGGTTCCTGTCAGTGAGGCTGGGACTGGCATCAGAACCTACAGCCATTCATACATGTCATGTCCAGTGTTAGTTGGAATCCGTCATTCTGTAGCTCTTTTGTGTCGTCTGTAATAATGAAGGAGCCACACTTTAAACCAAGGGTGTCAAACTCATTTTGGTTTAGTTGCCGCATACAGCTTAATGTGACCTGCAGGGGGCCACACACGTAAACTCATTGCAAGATTAACCAATAAAAATGGACTTGTTGAGTTTTATATTAAACGAATTTCACTTTTACAAAATATATTATGAATAATCTCAGTTTTTAAGAAAGGTATCTGCAATTTCAACAATACCTTTACTCAGTTAAACATTTATTTAAGTGCATTATGCATAAGAACTGATCACAGTGTTTGTACAATGTTGCAAAACATTTATTCACAGTTTTTGGAATTTAAAAACACTGTCCTGCATCACAAAATACATCAACCAGATAACAATTAAGAAATGATTTAAAATCAATTTTCTGCATCTGGGAAGCAATTTGAACAAATTATCTGGCTTCACACATTTGAAATCTTAAGTGTCAGCTGTTTTAAACAGACATTTGATTAAGTACATTTGTTGATGCATAAAATGCATACATATAGAAAAACTTGCATACATAACATGTATGTATGTTAGCATGCACGAGAAATATGAGGTTACCAGGGCCAAAATAAAAGCTGGTAAAGCTGTTTACAGAACCTGAAGCTCAGTGCTGCCATCTGCTGGTTGTTCTGATGCAGTGTTCCATCATGTTGTCTGCTCTGAATATAACACAGCGCTCCTCGTGGACAGCATAAGAACTGCAGATTTTCAATTAAACGAAGTACATGTTTTTTTAATGGACAATGATAATGCATTTAGCCGCCAGGCTGGACTAAACAAAAAAGCAATCTATGCAACGTTTTCCACCTTTTTCTCTACAGAATCAAACATCATAGCTATTTTACGATCAACAAAGCGGCGACTCATTTATTGAATGTCCACAACATCTTTTAGATTTTTCTTTATGCTGAATATCTATTAGTAAGACAGTTTTGCGAGGATTAATACAGCTTAATGCAGTAGCAGAAATAATCAAATCAGTAAAATCAACCATCTATCTTTCCCTAATGCTGACACTGAGAACTAAAAAGGGAACCCTTGAGAAACGGACGGAGTGCAGGATGTTTGGACCCCAGAACCGGCCTGATGATATAGAACGTGTTGCAGCAGGAAGAAGAGGAGGAGGAGGATGATCGACGAAGGTCTGTAGGTCTGATGAGTTTTGTCTCTGCATGGCTGTGAGGTCACGCAGGCCTTGGTGCTGGCAGGAAGAGGACTGACTTAGAGCTGCAGGTCTTGGATCTTAGGGTGACTTACTCATGCGTGTAGCGATCCTCAGCTTCTTGTCTTCCAGATCTGAAGCCCCTTCATCTTGTTTCAAGATCTTTCTGGTCTGTTGAGATGTAGGCGAGCTGACCACATGAAGGAAGGCCCCAGTTCCTCCTCTTTACCTTTGGTCTTTGTCTTTATCTTCATATTTGTCTTGGTCTTTGGTTTCAGAACCCAGCTAATGAGAGAAGTGCGATGTGAAGCCACATGTTGGGGGCTGACAGGTTGGTCCCCATGCGTAGGACAGTCTCCGGCTCTCCGGCTCTTCTTCACCTTTACAGGGTTTATCCTCCCTATAGATACACTTGCATTGGCTGGCTCTGTTTTCATGCTTGTTTCATTGGCCGTCTGCTTGGACAGATGATCTCATGTCCATCATTGTCTTAGAAGACATTATGTCCTGATGTCTGTGTTCATGGCTGATTTGATGTTTCAGGTTTTTTGGATCACAAAATAGAAAAGGAATCAAGTTCAAATCACTTTGATCTAAACTGATTTAACAACAAATAATACATTGAAATACATGGATAAAAGCAAGTTAAAGGAAAACCATCAGAGTCCAGAGAAGTTTAGATTTTCATGAAATATTTCTGTCATCAGAATGAAAGAAATCATCAGCAGTGATTTCCTTTATGGCTCCTGTAACACAAAGAACTAAACCGGAAAAATAAAGAAGATCAGAACAGCAGAGACACCAGAACCATGAACCAGTATTGTGGTCAAGACCACTTAACCCGAGACCAAGACCAGTGTATCAAGACCCAGACAAGACCAAGACTTTTAGGGTCTGAGACCAAGTCAAGACCAAGACCATGGCAAGTCGAGACCGAGTCAAAACCAAGACCAGCAGCCCGCGCTAGATGACACGATAAAATGTAAAATATGATCAAAATTGCTTCTCAAATTGATAAAGATCCATATTTCCATAAAGATTCATATTTTATACCTTTATATCTAGGTATAAAAATACCTAGATATTAAATACTCAGTAGATTTTACCAATATTAAATATTCCATCTCTGTGCTACAAACCGCGGTGCTCTTGTGTCATCCCTAAAAATATAACGCCCTGGGCTTTTGCCCATATTGCTCATTTCAGAAACCACCACTCTCTGCACCATTAAACATAGCAATTGAGGCAATGCCCTGACGGTAAATAACGCTCAACTATGAACACTGACAAAGGAACAACAAGCAAGAAGTAACCAAGCAGAAGGCGCTCATCGTGACTGTTTTCACTCTCTATCCCAGTACATGAAGCCAGGTAGTCTGACACCATGGCAGACATTACAGCTGCCACTTTGAACGAAAACAATCAAAGAGCATTGTGCATGCTATGCGTGCTCTTTCGTCCTTGTGTTTTAGTTATTTGTTCATTTAAAAAATATCAACATACATAATTAAATAAAATATTATAGCTACTGCAGTGTACGCAGAGCATTAGAAGAACAAAGAACGGGTGTTCTGTCAGGTCAGATCGTCATACGCTTAGCACAAACTCACTGCTATATCTATCAGGCACGTCATTACCATAAGATTTAATTTAATCAGCAACATAGAATCATGACTTAGATCGTCATACACTTTGTTATTAAGAGTTGTATGGCATCCTGACTTAGTGCTTAAGTAGGTTAATGAGTTTTACACGGGCGTTTGTTGTAGCTGCAGCCAGACCCTACTTTAAATTCACTTTGAAACCATGACAACGCATGTATATCTATATAGTTATCATTGAAAACAATTTAATGTCTTATTTTTGTCATAACTTGCTGCGTATGGTGAAATGACAACTCCTCTGATGGTCAAACTTTTTAATGCGCATGCAGGCATGGTACTCACTGCATGTTTGCTATTCTGACAGCGTATGGTAATCTGATAGAACACCGGTTCTCAGTGAGTGACACTCCAGTCCTATCTAATAAGTAAAGAGCCGTTCAGAAGAATCATACTGTTCCTGAATGTCGCATCACTATATTGCAGACTTTTGGACACAGCGTTGTCCCATATATGCGACAAGTCAGTCAACACCTCCGCACAATAATTCAGCACAGTGAGTGATAACATTTTTCATCACAAATGCTTATGTGTCTCTGTACAGCTAGCTTTGCTAACATCACGTTAACGGAGCTTACCTTCTTTGAGCTACTTTTCTAAGTAACGAAAAAAGTTAGACGTTGTCCCCACCGTCTGTGAAAGCGAAGCGCTGCTGAGTTAGCTGTGGCCATCGGATTTCTTATGATTTATGCAGCTCTATTATATTACTGACGATTAGACAGACATCTTCTGCCGCTGAGAGAAAACCACTGCGTATGTCTCAGAGCACCGTGTGTGAGTGAAAGGTTGAGAGGGGGAGAGGAGCGTAACAGAAACACATAATTGCTTGGATTTTAATTGGTGCGTTTTGCATCCACTGAAAACAAAGATGTTAACAAATAAATTGGACAGTATGCTGCACAT